GGGGGGGGGGTGTCCCTTGGGGCTGACGGGGCTGTGTCCCTCCACAGAACCGCATGCACGAGAGCCTGCACCTCTTCAACAGCATCTGCAACCACCGCTACTTTGCCACCACCTCCATCGTCCTCTTCCTCAACAAGAAGGACGTTTTCCTGGAGAAGATCAAGAAGGCCCACCTCAGCATCTGCTTCCCTGACTATGATGGTGAGGGTGGCAGCGGCTCTCCCACCGGGTGCAGGCAGGTGGTGGTGGGAAGGTGGTGAAGGGTTGGGTGCCAGCACCCTGCAGCAGCCACCCACCAGGTGTCCTCAGCACCCCATGCAAGTGATGCTGCACTAGCCTTGCTCATGGACCGAGCAAGGTTTGCTCACCCGGGAGAGCGCTGGGTGACACTGGGCGAGCACTCATGGTGGCGGGGGGGGGGACACCAGCCCAGGAGGGGACCCTGCTCACTGCCACACCACCAGGTCCCAACACCTATGACGACGCGGGCAACTACATCAAGCTGCAGTTCCTGGAGCTGAATATGCGGCGGGACGTGAAAGAGATCTACTCCCACATGACCTGCGCCACCGATACCGAAAACGTCAAGTTTGTCTTCGACGCCGTCACTGACATCATCATCAAGGAGAACCTCAAGGACTGCGGGCTCTTCTGAGCCCCAGCCCCAGCGCCCCCTTCCCAGCCCGGGCCTCCCCATCCCCTGGGGTCCAGCCCCACCACTGCCCCCATCCCCGCTCCGCAACCATCTCTGTTTGCCCCGAAAACCTGGGATTTGACTCACTCAGCCTCAGAGCCACCCCTGGGTGGGGGGCATGGCCACACTCCCCCTCCTCACCAGCTCTCCCACTGGCCAGCACTGCAGGGCACCTGGTGCTGCTGAGTGCTGAGGGGTACTGGGTGACCCTGGGTGCTGCAGCATGCTGGGGATCCCTGGGTACCCCTTGGAGCTGGGGAGTACTGGGGGTCCCTTGGTAACCCTTGGAGCTGGAGGGGTGTGGGGCAGTCCTTTGGGTGCTGGTTGTCCCTGGGTACTCCTTAGAGCCAGGGGTGCTGGGGGTCCCTGGGTGCCCATTGGAGCTAGAGTGCTGGGGGTCCCTTGGGGTGCTGCAGGTCTCTGAGTGCCCCTTGGAGCTGAGGGGTGCTGTGGGGTCCTGGGTGTCCTGGGGTTCCATTTGGAGTTGGGGG